CACCATTTTCAAGGGCAGCCCTATGTAGATCATGTTACAGTTGTCCATCCGAGCAGATACCAGTACATGGACCACTGCTGCTAGATCCTGTCTGTCAGTAGGGCGCATTTGATGGATTAAATAACCTGTCCAGAGACCTGCAGGGTATTGAATGGGGTAAAATACCCAAACAAACAAACAAACAAACAAACAAATGGAGTTGCTGGAAAGAGCTCCTGGACACAGAGCCCACACAATATTCCAGGGACAGCTTCAGGTCCAGAAGCACTCCCATACTCCAAAGCCTTTATGGGAACTGCAACCCCATCAAGGAGAGACTGATATCCTCCGTCTGGATCTAGGAACACCTATCAGTACAACATCAGTCTTATCTGGACTAAGTTTCAATTTATTCATCCTCATCCATCCATCACCCCACTCAGGCACTGGTTCAAAAATGTCACCACCTCACCTGGATGAGGTGACAATGAGAGGTAAAGCTGAGTGTCATCAGCGTACTGCTGACCCTTCAGCACAAACCTCCTCTCCCAGTGGTTTTGTGTAGATGTGGAATAGCCTTGGGGAGAGTATAGAGCTCTGAGGCACTCCTTGGCACAGCAGCCATGGCACAGAACTGTGCTCCTGCAATGCCACCTTCTGGAAATTGTCAACCAAATAGGAGTGGAACTGCTGCCAAACCATGTCCCTGACTCCCAACTTGGCCAGCCATGGTTGATAGTGTCGAAAGCCATCAGAATGGCTATAAAAGACAGACATCAGAATTAGGCATATATTAATGTTTTAGTACACCAATGTCCCAGTGACCCTCAGCTTTACATGTAGAAAGGTTATGAGATACTCACTTTATTATATTAACACATATAAATATACATGCCAATATCCACATCCTTTGACACTCTTAACCTTCTCCCAGCTGCAATGGAATATTGCAGTTTCAGTCTCCTTCATTTTAATAAAAACATACTCATTTGCTGGCTTCACACAACATGACAACCCATACTCAAGGACAGACCATGATCAATTTAAGTGCACTCAAACCCATTGAATTAATGGGTTTAAGCATACTTTAACTCTAGATTGGCTTGTAGCTTTTATCTGCAATACGGCAGTTTTATTTTGCTTGGATTGACTGATCTAAAGTATTTCTTTATTCATTCATGTTTTCCAAGTATTACTTCAAATTAGCAGATAGGATTTACAAGGTAAGCTATCAAAGAGCTAAAATCAAGTCAAAATACATTGCAAAAGATTTAGTTTGCTGATTAATTAACATAACTATTGTTGATTCACATAAGCAAGTTACCTTTTCAGACCTATTAGAATAATCTATAAACACAACTGAACGAGTGAGAGCCATTAAATTTTGGCAGGTAGAACACGGCAGCACTAATCCCATTCCATAAGAAAATATGAATAAAAATTAACCAGGTGACTGTGAACAGACTGTTTAGCCTTAGTTTTCACTCTAGTGGTAGACTACCCCAGATTGGCAATAGGACAGGGAATCTAATTACTGCAAATATTTTGATCATAAAATTCTGTTTCAGAGGAAGGGATTTGGTGCCCTGGCCAGCTTATGCCATATTATGTCTGCACACATTTAAGTGCTACTGATTTTATGTTGGGGAATAACCTAGAACTACCACTTTGAAATGCTAAAATGTTTGCACTTGATTGCCAATTAATTCAGGTTCTTTACATAGTTAACTAAAGTAGTATTAAAACGTAATCTCTCCACTTTTTCTGTATATGCAGGTATTTATTCTATAATGTGATGATGACCAGCAGTTCAGAGTATATGCGAAATAAGGTTAGCTAGTTTATTTTCAATAAGCTCTAGAATTAAATGCATTTTAGGAAGTTTGGATAGGGCTATAGTAAGAAGGCCTGTGTTAGAGCTTGCTGCTCTATGCACAGATTGGCATAGGACCTGGTTGGCTGAATAGGATTTTATCCTTGCTCTACAGTTTTATCACAGCAAGGCAATCTGCATATGGTAACTTTCCATGAAAGTATATTGCTGTGTAGCTTTTTAGCCTAATCCGACAACTCATCCAGGCAGGTCATTTTGCAGAGAAGACAGTGATCAAGTCAAGGAATACAACAGATTTGTATTTGTTCATCTTCTGAAAATGCACACAGGCCTTCTTACTAACAGACACTTATCTGGCTCCACCTCCATAGGCGTATTTCCAGTAGGGCCACCCCAAGGGTACAATTAACTGACTTTAACTTACATTGTCAATTGCCTGAAATAACAAGACAAATCTTTGACTGTAGATTTTTACATCCCAAACAGGAAGCTGTGATTGTAAAGGAAGCACATTTACATTTCTGTAAAGATAGCCAGGTGTCATAGAATCAAGGTGACTTCATAGCTGAAGTAAATATATATTGCTCACCACCAAAAATAAGCAGGCATTTTTGAATGGCATTGTTGGCTCTATCTCTTTTGCCTTTGGTCTCTCCCTCCCGCCTCATTGCTTCCACTGTGCCCACTGGAATGTGGCCCTCAGACTGCCAGAACACTAGCACTGGGGGAAAGGATTAACCATTCCCTTCCTTCATACTATGGCTTCAACCCAAATTCTTTCTTACACTAGGCTGCTTTTAGGAAAATAAGAAAGACATTGGGAATCACCAGTCATGAATCTCTTGCATCATGTGTAGATTGAACCTTGGTTAGCTAGAGCAGTGAAGTAAAAGTTTTATAAGAATTCCAGAGTATAATTTTGAAATATCTAAGATAATTATCAAGATAAGGTACAAAGAATCATAGATTCACTTAAAAGAGGAATACTTAACATTTTGAAGAATGTTCTCTGTTATCACACAAGACTATATTCTGTGAAGAAAAAATGTAGGCAGTGCTGTTGGGGAGCTCAGTAGTAAGTAGCAAATGTTTTAGTACTTTAAAGGTAGTGACACATCTAGCTTTTTACAACATAGATTGGGATACTGGTTTAATGATATGGATGAAGAATATGTGCATGCCAGTATATGTACTTACACTACTACTATGATATAATATTTATACAACTGTGGCAAAGACTTTTAAAGAAAAGTACTTAAGATGCCACCAAAGTGAAATGTATTAAATAGTTATGACAGGACAATACATATACTTTGCATAAAGGTAAAGGTAAAGGTTTCCCCTTGACATTAAGTCCAGTCATGCCTGACTCTAGGGGGCGGTGCTCATCTCCGTTTCCTAGCCGAGGGAGCCAGCATTTGTCCACAAACAGTCTCCGTGGTCATGTGGCCAGCATGACTAAACACCGAAGTGCACGAAATGCTGTTACCTGCCCACCAAAGTGGTACCTTTTTATCTACTCGCATTTGCATGCTTTCGAACTGCAAGGTTGGCAGGAGCTGGGACGGAGCAACGGGAACTCACCCCGTTGTGCAGATTTGAACCGGCGACCTTTCGATCAACCAGCCCAGCAGCACAGTGGTTTAAACCACTGCGCCACCTGCAGTCCCTTATACCTGCAGTCCCTTATACTTTGCATAGGAAGTTCTAATTTGGTTGGTTTGGTGCTACTGCATTCATATCCTTCTTAATGGTGTCCCATAGATATCTGGTTCATCACTGTAGGAAAAGAATGGTGGACTAGCCATTTAGTTTTATCCATCAGGTTTATCATATGTTCAAATAGTACATGATGCATAAAAAAAATCCTAGACTCCCTAGAAGTTATTGCAACTTTGGATCTGCTTATGAGAAAGATAGACCAGATAGCATAACAAGTTCCTTGACAAGTCCTTCCACATACCTTTTAATGGACGGACTTGATCCATGCATATCGCATTGTGCTTATGTGCCCTGAAACTGCTTTATCTGACTGAAATGAAAGATCTGTGTGTGTGTGTGCGCGCCAGCTTAAACCATTAATCTCATGAAGTCTAAACTGGAGAATACCCTTCCCAATATATGACTTTCCAGGAACCAGATGAGGCCATGATAACCCAGGAAGGAACATAAGAGAAGCCATGCTGGATTAGATTGAAGGGCCCATCTAGTCCAGCATTCTGTTCATGCAGCTGTCTGTGGGAATCCAAAAACAGGATAAGAGTGCAGTGACACTTTTCCAGCCAAGATCACCCAACAGCTGGTGTACACAGATCTTCTACTTCTGACACTGGTGGTGGCATATGGTGGAACACATACCATCATCTTTGCCTGTCTCTTTGGGAAGGGACCACAGCTTAATGGCAGAGCTCATATGCTTTGCATATACATGGTCTAGACTTCAGTTAGGTAGCAGGTGATAAGACGGTTGTCTCCCTTAAACTTTAGAGGATCATTGATACTCAAAGAAACTATACTGGGCTTGATGGACAAGTCACCTGCTTGTTCTTTCTGTGTTTTCCCCCATGACATATATATTGATCATGAAACAACCCCCTTATTCAGAACAACCAAAGAGAACACTGCTCAGAATCCATGCTTGACTATGGTATTATTGGTTGGTCTTGGGCCAATAATTCACCAATCTCAGGGATGTGATACAGTGCTTATTCTTGGAGGAAGGGAGGCATACAACTGTAGTAATTGCCATTCAACAGTACAGGTCTATTTACTCATATGTAAGTTTATCTGTTTCAAGGATAAGCAACTTGTGTCCTTCAGTTATTTTAAACTCTACTCCTGTCAAGTTAGCTAGCATGGCCAATGGTCAGGGCTGATGGAAGTTGTACTCTAAAAGAGCTGCGGGGAAGCAGGTTATTTATTTCTGCTCTAGTCCAGCAGGGTTTATTCTTCAGTAAGTGTCCTTAGGATTGCATAGCTGATTCATATCCTTTATATTTGGTCGGTCTATTGGAGAAAGGAACATGGAGGAAGAAACCAAAAAGTGAGGCAGGGAAAAAGCTTTGGTGTACTTCATAGAGTTACAATCAACTCTCCCTGTGTCATGATTTATTTGGTATAATTCATATTTCTGAACTCTTGCCTTCTCAGTGTTCAGTGTAATGAAATAATTATTTATATTTACTAGGTATGGGATGAAAATCTAGCAAAGTCTGCAGAAGCATGGGCTGCTACCTGCATTTGGGACCATGGCCCTTCTTATTTACTGAGATTTTTGGGACAAAATCTGTCTGTACGGACTGGAAGGTAATTTGTAAGATATTATCAGTAACACTGAAGATAGCTGGGCCAATTCAGAAATTTGTCAAAAATTTCCTTGAAGTGAAACAGATTGGTAGACACAATAGTCAGAGACTATCCCATCTTTGTGGACCTTTTTGCATAGATTTGGTCACCTGTTTAACTGTTTTCTATGGCTTTTAAAGAGTTCTTTGTTTTAGGCCCATCTTAATTACTGTTGCTGGGCTAGATTTTTTTACACTTCCACAGCATATTATTTTATATCATGCTTTGAATGTGATGCTGCTCCGGAGTTGAATTTTTTTATACTTCTGTGTTAATTTATATACAATAATTTAAAAGTGTACCTATGTAATTTTTGCGGGCTCCCCTTAAGGCTGCTTCTGACCTAAAAGGAGGCATAAACATATCAAAAACATAAACATACAAACAAACAAATGGGTACATCTAGCAATGCTCCAGAGAAATCTGTTTGTGTAGGTGCTTTCTGTGTAGACTGAAGCACTTTATCTTCTCTGGAGGACCACAGGGGTATGATACAGCACAGTGGCAGTTTCTTGCTGTCTAATGGAAACAAGAAAAAATGGTGGAAAAGAAAAATGTCCTAAATTATATTCAATTGGCCTAAGTATATGCAGCCTTCCACATCTTATAGTTTTATTGTTAACCATCTTTAAACTGGCAGGATATAAATCCTTCAGTAATGGTACATAAAAAGGAGATTATGGATGGACACTGTTCATCAAGGAGAACAGAAAGATATCTAAACATCAGATTTTTATATCAAAGACAACTTTTATATCAAGCACTTAAGGTGGTGGCCCAAGAACAAAGTTTTATTCTTGAAATAGAAAATACCCTTTAAGTCTTTCTAAAGTCTGCTCACAAAAAGCAGACTTGGTTTTCTAAGTCTCCATCGAAATGGCAGACTCTTGCTCTTTAAGTGGGCTATAATTCTTGTGCAGAATAATCACAGTATGATATGTCGGTAATGTCAAATGCTCAAAAATCTCTCTCTCTCTCTTGTGCTTTTGCCTAGATACCGATCCATTCTCCAGCTGGTGAAGCCATGGTACGATGAAGTGAAAGACTATGCCTTCCCCTATCCTCAGGACTGCAATCCAAGATGCCCACTGAGATGCTATGGACCCATGTGCACACATTATACCCAGGTATATGAATTCAGATGGTCCAATGTCATGTTTCAGTTCAAAATTCAATGATAGGGTGTATTGCCTTGTAACAGAAGAATATTACTATTTTTTCAGATGGTTTGGGCCACTTCCAATCGAATAGGCTGTGCAATCCACACATGTCACAACATGAATGTCTGGGGTTCCGTCTGGCGACGAGCTGTTTACTTGGTATGCAACTATGCCCCAAAGTAAGTACCTCTGGTTTGCTTTGTCTATTTTATCAGTCCACAAGCCATCTGATTGAGCTACCTGATTATCCTTTTATCTGATTTTCTAATTGTGGCCCCTACTGAGGTCATCTTTCAAGTGCCTTGTACATTTGGTACAATTGGTGGCATTTGTACTTGTATATATACTATCTTCACTGTTTGTATACATACCTCCATAAAGGTAAATCAGGGCCATTATAACTCTATCTGACAAACAAGAGTAATGTACTGTTAATATACCAACTCAATTGTGGTATATATTTCAAATTTAAATGGAGAATGAAGCAAGAATTGTATGGAGGATCAGCCAACCAAAGTTCCACTTTTGCATCTATTTAAGAATGGATAGCAAAGATGATTGGGTTCTAAGAATGTTTGATATGCTTATTTTCATATCCTGTTATTTAACCATTTAATTTATTCTGCTTTTGTATCCTAACTAGTGATAGGAAGGGAAAAGGTTATGATGCATGTGAAAATTCCTACTCTATGAGCACTGGAAAATTTATTATTTTTCTCAGATTTTCCAGGCTTTGTTAATATACTTTCAATCATATGTTTACAGTCATAGATATCAGAATCTTGAAATGAATTAAATGTCTGATTATGAAACTAAATTTCAAAATCAGGATCAAATTGTGTGCTTTTTCAATACCAAATTAGAATAGATAGCCCTTCACATAACCCGTTACCTTTATTAATGTAAATATATTTACCACAGTTATTCTAAGCACCAATCACATCTCTATATTTGTTCTCAGGGGGAATTGGATCGGAGAAGCACCATATAAAGTAGGAGTGCCATGTTCTGCTTGTCCGCCAAGTTATGGAGGATCTTGCACTAACAATCTTTGCTTTCCGGGGGTCACATCAAACTACTTATATTGGTTTAAGTAAAAAGTTACAGTTGTTCTAGTCAAATGAGTGTGTTACAAAATCTTGAATATTGAACTTTGCACATATTGTATATATATAGTTATTGTTATTATTATTATTATTAGTGTAAACATTCTGTAGTAGTTTGAAAACTAGTTTTAATATTGTTACATAAATCCCACTACCCATGCTGAATTAATAGTTACCTTTCCAGACTGATAAGAGGTACTGTGTATTCAAAGAGAAATGAAAGAAGATACAGACATTCAAAGTCACAAGCTAATGGATAAACAAGCTAATCAGGGTCCTAAGGTTTATTTTAGTGCCTTAGAAACTGGGGGAATAAGTTGCCTTGTTTTCAAACTTCCAACTTGAGAGTGTTGGACATCAGGTGACTATCAGTTAACTGTATGCAGTGCTTTGCATATCACAAATGATCTCCAGCAAAAAAGAGCAAACAAAAGATACTCAATCCTCCATGCAAAGTAAATGGTTTAACTAACACAAACTGGTTCCCTAGAACAATTTTATCAAATGGTTATTTCTTTGTGTGTGTTATTTTTCAGAATGAACAAAGCAATTACATTCTATTAAAAAAATCTAAAACCAAGTATATATTTTTATGAGACAGAATACACTGTGTTAGAAGTCTTTAGGCAATTAAGTAGGAAGAAAACGTATTGAAATCATAATGGTGTATATTTGTACAGGTTTCTTGTTCTAGTATCTCTACATTGTAAAAAGAATAGGTCCAAGCTTACGTATTTGCTTAAAGATACGTACATTGCTGCAAATTGTCCGGATGGTATGGACCAGGGGATCTCAGACTTCTTCACCAGTGGGCCAGTGGAGAGGTGCCAGTGGGGCGTGTGGGCTGGAAAGGTGGCGTTGGTGGGGGCGGTGCATGCAGGTGCGCGCTGAAGTGGGGATGGGGCGTGGGCAGGCGCGCACGCGTGGTGAGGGGAGGCAAGACAAGGCAGGGGCGGGCACATGCCACGAGGCAGGCACACGAGGCAGTGGCTGGCTTGCTTGCTTGGAGATCGTTTGTCTGAGCGAGCAAACTGCTGTCTCCCTGTGCATGGGGCAAGATGGGTGGTGGCGACCCTGCGCATGCGGCGGATCCAAATGGACACGGCGGGCCGGATAAATGGATATGGTGGGCCGGATCCAGCCCCCGGGCCATAGTTTGAGGACCCATGGTATGGACTAACCTGAGCTGTGATGTCATAAACAACAGAATATTATTTTGTAACTATAGTAACATCCTACCCATAAGCTATCTGTCTGTGTTCCCCTTCCAAATTATTCCTTGGCTTTCTAGCTAGTATTACCTGTGGCCTAGCTGTTCCTAGGATAGTACATTGTGGTCTACCTGCCTTCTCATAATGGAGCTACCTGTTGGTGCAGCAGAGTAGATGGGTGTAGCTGTGCTAATATGATTCCAGGTTCTTGTCAAGATGTGCAATAATATTAAATAGAGCTATCTGGTCTTTTTCAGGCTAGGTTAAAAAACTGCTCTGGTGTGCCTTGCTTAGACTTACTATATCCTGTGACAAGGTTGGATTACTTTCAGTAACACAGAGTTTATCTGAACTGGATCAGTCCATTCAATTAAACAGAGTGGCAGATCAATTTCACATGAACAATGGTTGTGAATGAATCTTCACAGTCATGAAAAGAATAGTAATAAGTCAAAAGAGTAATTCTGCTTAAAATTTTCATGAGTATTTGTCACTGACTACAAAATAGCATAGGTAATAGTCATCCAGTGATATAATGACCCAAGTAAAGGTATGCTTAAGCTGTGTATCTTGTGAATGGGCTTCCATAGGATTGGAAGACCTGACTATGGTGGTACCCCACTTGCCTGAAAGCCTATGGATGAGCTGACTGGGTGAAGGGTTCTTCCCTGCAGACTGCCACACTAACACATGGAGGCTGGACTAGCAGTGTGAATCCAGAAGTAAGACTCCTTTCTCTAGTAATTGTGTGAGGCAAGTATAATGTGAAGAGAGCTAAACAGCCTTTCTTATTCAAGACTTCAGAAACAAAATAAGAAAATTGGTCACATGCACATCTAATAAATTAAGCACTTTTTGAAGAGTAAAGAAGAATTTTTGCTATTTTGGGATTGACCTTGGCACTCAAAGCAGAACTTTTAAAAATGAATATGGATACTTTGGAATTACCTGCATACAGTCTGAACTTTAGTTGATTGTGACATTCAGGTTCTCCTTTTCACTGGAAGCAGCCTTCACATGTGTCACAGATTCCAGCTGAGAATGTTTCCATATGCAACCAAATGCAGACTTTTTATGGGCTACTATCCAGGGCTGTACCTCATAGTGTTTCACAGCTAGGTCGTATGATGGTAGTGAACATTTTTTCTGTAAAGATGCAAAGCTACAAAGTCTGTTCACTTTTCCTCATTGTCAGAAAACTGACATAAGTTAACAGAAAAATATAAAATTCTCAGACAGGTGAGTGCTGATTTTATCTTCATCAAATAAGCTTTTAGGTAGAGAGGTCTTTTCTGGTTGCTGGGAACAGTAAGAAGCAAATGCAAATCCTATGTATTTCTGATATGGGAAAGAAATAAGCATTAAATTAGAACTGTAATAAGTTTCAGAAGCAATGTAGTATGCTTTCTAAACAGAACAGTAATTGTAAATATATGTTCTAGAAACTACTACGCATACTATATATAGACACAGATACATTATTGTTAACTGTTATTCTTCTGTGTTGGTGCAAATAAGCTCATTCTTTGGAATCCTGTCAATACAGGCAATGACACGTTGCTGTTGTCAAGCAGGTGCATAGGTCTTTTAGCAATATGTAACAACCTTCCATAATATGATGCCTTCAAGAGCAGGGGGCACTAGTTTGTGGAAAGCTGAAATACAACAATGGTGCTAACAATGGGTGAAGCCCTGACTTCATTGAAAACAGTGTTAATCTTTTCAGGTAACCCAGGATTTAACCACCTGTCCACTATATCCAGCAGGAAATAAAGATGACATAAGCTATTTCAGATGAGCAGCTTCTTTTAAAACAGGCAGCAAGTATTGAAGGGTTCTTTTGGATATGTTTTTCATATAGCAGAGAGATGTTTCCATGTTCTTATGTTTAACTTACACGATTAAAGAGTGACTTAATCATACAGAATATCTTTTGCTAACTAAGTGTACTTTAGATGAATGATGGGGATTGCATTCCCAAACACCTGCAGTACACCAGTTTTTGTAATATTGATCTATAAGGATGTTGTAAAACTCTCTGCTCTGTTGACTTGAACTCCTGCAATACTTACTCTCCGCTTTCTTTTGGTTTATATCAGTGGTTTTAAAACTCAAAAACTTAGAATTCCTCACTGAGAAGACTAATAGTTGTAGCTTTCCAGGAAGCAATTTGACTAATATCCATATCACAGATGCTTCTCTGTGATGTAAAGAAGATCTTAGATATATTTTGGGGAACACATAATTAATGTGGTGCAATGGCAAGAGCCTAACAGGTCTGGGTGATGACCCATGTTCATGACCATTGGTAGTTGTTTATGTTTCCTGGCAGACGCATGGGCTCCTTTGCAAACAAAAAGATTTGAATAGTGTTTCTTGAATGTAAAAAATATGAAAACCACTGGTTTATATAAAAGCAAGCTGAGAAATGTTCATTTACCTACATGGCCAGTATCAATGGTGCTTTGGTAGAGTAGCTCAATATGAAGCTCTGTGTATTTGCTAATTAAAAAAGACAGTAATGTAGCAGATATCTGGAATATTGGCTGTACAACTGCAATTGATTCGATGCTAGTAAATACACATAGTATAAGGTTGAAACAGAGCAAAGTTGGCCATATAAATGTTTCATATTTTTACAGTTTTTTATATTATTTCAGTGTAGAGCAGAAATTCTGGTGATAAGTTTCTTGGGTCTTCCAATGATTCTAGTGGAACTATTTTGACAGCATTTTCACTGTTATTATAGGGCTACATGTAGGTTGGGTTTAGGGGTAAAGCAGTCATCAATTTTCACAGACTTACTAACTAGTATAAAAGAACCATTTTAGTAACACTCACTTCCTTCACCAGCACAACACTGGGATGTAACTTTCTCTTCCAATATAAAAGAAATATTGACAAATTGACAAAAAGACCAAAAATAATAGTAAATATTAAATTGATCTTAAAAATACATTATGAATTAGAAGAGACATAAGAATAAAACTCTACATGGGTGTCCAAAATGTTAACCCACCAACATAGCTTTTGATACCATAATAGTATTGGGCTTAAATAAGTATTTTAATATTAAGCTATTTTGGTGCTAAAGGACTGACTCTTTTATGATATATTCTCCTAATTTAGCTTCATATAACTAGTAACGTAACTTCTATTGGCAGCACATTACAATTCTCAAACCAACTATGGGCCCAATCCAAGGAATGTTTAAACTATATAAACCAGCTGAGCCATGCTGAGAATCATAGGATTTTATATGTCTATACATGGACCCTTAAGTACACATGCAATTGTTCAGACTTAACCAACCTGGCATCTTCCAGGGGGATTGGACTATAGTACCCAGTCTCCCAGTCAGCCAGGTGGGAAAAGATTGCAATAGTTCATGCTCAACTTGGGTCAGACATTTCCTTCTACTTTTAGGGGACCATTTGTTCACTGGGACGTTTGTCTTTCAAGGGGTGTCCATAAGAACATTTGCCTTATATTTAATTACTGAGAGTGTGTTTCTATTTTCTGTTTCTTAATAGCAAACCAAAAAAAAAAAATCCTTTACTGTTGATGTACACAGCAATTTGGCTGCTCTGAGAAGCCCAGCTGAGTGCCTGGGACAGAATGCCCTTGGGAGTGATTCTACGTCATGACATTCTTGACATGAGACACTCTTGGGAGAACAGATGGCTGCCCATATATTTTTTGTCTGCTACAACCTGGACCATATCAATGGGCCTAGCATTTCCCTCCACACAAGAGTTCTCTGTAATCACTAACCTTTTTTCTATTTCATTTGAATGTGATTAAATTGTCTCCTCAATCTCACTTTGAGGCATAACACTGTAAAAATTGAAAGAAAAAAGAAGGTGAATACAAGAAAACAAATTAGAATGCCTTATAGAGAGACAATTCTGAGGTCATATTTTCTTAGAAGATAAGACTTTTCTTTAAAAGTCTTAGAAGACTTTTAAAACCATATGATTAAATGAAGATTATAGGTATCATTTGGGGCAATTTGTACTTGTGTCACAAGTAAATGTTGTAATCCTGGTTATGATGACTCCCATATACTTCCCTACAAAGATAATTCGAAGTAGTTATCATCCTAAAAACACATATGCACTTTATTCTTGTGAATCCAGGGTGATAAGATTAAATAGCAAATAAGCTGTTTTCTTAAGTATTTTGCCAAGCAGCAAAGCAGACTATATATCCCAACAGTGATAGAAAATCAAGTAATAATTTAACCCACTAGTGACAGAACATTATATAAAGAATCCATGAAAATAACTCTTTCATATATATTCCTTGGTATGAACCTGAATTGTTTGTATCATGAAGCTTGAAGCTTTACATTTTAAATGTATGATGAACCTGTAAATTGTGAGTCTAACACATGCCTACTTGCAACCGTGTGTGTCACAGAGATACGTGTGCTCATCAAGGAAGCCTGATTGGCTGTGACCCCTTGCCTTGTACAGTTGGTGGGCAGGCATTATGTTGCTGCTGCACAAGCAACCATGATAAACCACACTCACAGAAGACACGTATTAGCACCCAGATTACAGTGATTATTTTTGTTTTTAACTTAGTATATCTTATAGTCTGTTCTCTGTATTTCAGCAATGGCCTTCTACAAGCATAACTCTCAATCATACTTCAGTCTATGAGGCCTGCTTCTCCCTTCCCTCTTCATCCCCATTGCTAGAAGAGAGAGACTAGAAGCAGAATAATCTGTTTATCATTGTGAATCAGGAACAAAATTTAAGTTTAAATATGGCTTATTTTGAACAAGCCAGTATTGTAAATCATAGTTTAAAGTTGGCTTATTAGATAAACCTGAGTTAATGCTAAATCTAGTTTATGCTGATTCAGATCTGGGAATAAACCACAGTCTGCTAAAAATGGAAGTAAATACATCCAATATCCTCCTTGCAATCAGATTAATCCATGAGCCTAAAGGAGTGCAGAAATTCAAGTTCACTTGCATAACACTATGTAAGAGTTTATTATTATGTCTGAACACATAATACACATTTTGGGAATGGCAAAAGTTGACTTTCAAAACTGTAACAGATTATACACTTCTTGTTATATGAAACCAAGTCTTAATATATTTCATATGTATTTATAAAACCAAACATCCTGTTTCCCTATTACATTTAAATTACCTTGTTGTAACAGTTCCTTACCTTTAAAATTTATTGGCAATACAGTTTATTGTTTGACATGGATGTTGTTTGTTTGACAATGAATAAAGTTATTTTCCCATATTAATATTACTATATTATGAACTGTGATGAATTCCCAATAGTACACTCTCAACTTTTGTTCTTGTGGAAATATAAAAGTGTGGATCCTTCTGACTGTAATTTTTAACATGCATTTAAATAAAACCTAAATTGGTTGGTATTTTATAGGTTTTGGTGTTGTTTTCTCGCTGTCCTCTTTTGCCTGAAAGCTTGATACTTTTCCCCACTGGGTTAGCCATTGTACATACAAAGTAGAAGCATGCATGATATGAATCACTCTTGCCTGGTATGAATCAGTTTTTTCAAAGTATTTTTCTATGTCAGCAGGTTTTGGTACGTTTGTTGATTAATCAAGCAATGGATATTAAGCACATATCAGTCAATCAATCAAAAACTGACAATTTGGCAAAGGAAGCTTCTGATTTTAAAAAATGCTCTTTGAAAAAAATAAAATAAAACATGCTGATTCTGGAGACTGAAAAGGTCAATTCATGGCTGCATTTGTCAGTGAATAAAGCTTCATTTTTCCAGCAGCCACAATCACAGTGCTGGGTTCCAGGTCCTTGTACATAAAACCAAATGTACACTAGCTTTTTTCATGTGGTTATGTGAAAGAATGTCACAAAATCTATGAACTAGGGTGAAGCAACCATTGTGCTTGTAAACTACATTGCAAAAATGTTTTCCCAGATGCAAATGCAGTAATATGTCAATTCCCAGTTGGAATAGTGTGTGTGTGTGTGTATGCATGCATATGGGCAGGCATGTGTGTGTGCGTGTGGTATGTACATGACTCAGCAGTGAAGCAGTTCTTTAATTTTAGAACTGTTCAATTAAATGCTCTTCCTTCACTTCAAAATAGTGAAGTCAGTCAGTCCAGCTGCTCCATTTGGGTATCCTCCTACTCCTGCTGAGTTGAGCCCTGGACTTCTGCCACAAACTTCTATCCTGACAGCACCACTTTCTCCCCTTCCTTAATTTAGCATTTTTATAGCAAAGTACAATTTAATAGACTTTCCAATAACCATTTGTTGCACCTTTCCTTTAGTCCCTAAGAAAAGTAGCATACTGGTAACCAAAGCCAAAAGTGTGATTTAGTGGGTTTAGGCAGGAATGTTATAATGGTATGTAGCTGTAACAGGTCTAGGCCACTCAGTTCCAGGAACTACAGAAGGTTTGCTGTTACCTTTAGTGGGCCAAACGTGCATAGTTCCAAACAGGGAGAAGTTGTTTTCCAGAACAGGAAGGAAAGTTCTGGGCCAGAGACAGGAATATAATCAAGGCCAAATAGAATAGAAAGATCAGGTGAATCAGAAGCAGGAATATAGTCAAAACAACACAGGGTCAATCCCACAACAGCGATCAGGGAATGAAAGCAGCAGGTAGGAAGTGTCTGCACACCAGGGACGTGTGCTTGGAAGCCAGTGATAAGCTCAAAGGCACAGCTTTGGAACACAGGACTTGGCCTATGGAAAGCAGGGCTCCATCTCTAGATAGAAATCAGTACAGAATACAGTACGCTAGTGGCAGAGGAGGTAAAACATGATGGCCTGATCACTAGATGCCCCATGATACCCAGGGCATGCACAATACTGGTGTGATCATGTTTCAATCACTGAAGACTTTGTCAGTAGGATATATATGCTAGAACCAAACTGAAATTCTCCCTTCTCATTCACAGGCAACAAAAATTCAGCTATTTTTCCAGGGAGGAAGTTTGAAAAAATGGTGGTGAGATGGAGGAAGTTTTCATTACTGGCAATGAGACATGATTCCCATGGATTGGTGGAGGGTGGGGGAATGATTGCTGTGGGCCATCAGCTGCTAGGAAAAGCACATGTGGTCACCACAAAATGATCAGTGGAAGCAAAGAATATTTGAGGAAGATGATTGTTCAGATAATTTTGTACCTGAATGCCAGTTTCATTTTATCCAGGAACTTCAGCATCATAGTATTGTTTTCCCGCATGTGAGGCCTTTTCCTGCAGTCACCATTCCTGCCTCCTCAGTATTTAGAGGTCCCTTTGGTGACAATGTGACCCTCCAGTTTTGCTTCTTTGTCTTACCTGCACATTGCAGGAATATTTATTGATTTATAAAGCAAGGTAAATAATGTGTGCAGTTGTGAAAGCGAAAGAAAAAGTGTTTTCCTCTTATGTATTTGTGCTAGTCCACAATACCACAGTGCATCTAGTGCTTGTATAGTAGAAAAGCATGAAAGGAAACACTTTTATTCTTGTGCTCAGATCTCATTCTGCACTGAAACCAAAAGCAGATACTGCCAATTGAGTTCTCGCGTAAAAAAGGTCATTGAGGTGCACTTTGAGGATGCCAGTCAAAAAGCAGGATATAATTTAATTTAATCATTATATTTCTATCTGTCTTTTCCCTGCAAGGGACTCAAGGTAGCTTATATAATTTTTCTCCTCCACATTTTATTCTTAATTTGATATGAAGTAGGACAGACTGCAAGTCAGTTACTGCTCCAGGGGCACCCTGTAAGTTTCATGGCTGAATGAGAGGCAGGATTTCCCAAGTCACAGTCCAGCACTCAACCCACCACACCACACTGGCTCTGCTAATGCCTAGTAAATGCATAAGCAAATAAATAAACAAAAAGAGAATTGACATGACCAGTCTTGTTACATATGAAGCCTTTCAGAATGTAACTCAAAATGAGAATTCCCAAATTATTTGTTCTAATCTGGGATAACTTCAGGAAATTCTGAAGAGCTACACTAGGTTGAATACCATATTGACTGGAGCCCAAATGATCCAGCTGACTGGTCATTATCTTCCTCACCAGTGACAATGACTGGGAAATTCAAGCTAACAGGAGAAGTATTAAATCACAGTTTTTGTCAGCTTTTCCCTTCATGGTTCTCAGGAAAGCCACACTACAAGTGCATTATGAACCACTGATGAAAGCCAGCTGAGTGCTGACTTTCTGGGAATTTGACCTTTCTCCCCATATGAATAAATCTATCATGAAAAAATGGATCTTGTTTTAGAAATTTTATCAGTTGCCTTACTACATATAATCATAGCTTGGAGTTCAAGTTTTTTATTATGATTTATTTTCATATGGATTACATTCTTTTGTAAGAAAGCAAAACAATAATTATCATATTTATGGTACTGCCCCAGTGTGATAAAAACATAACTAACTGGGAAAAGACAGATCTTTGATTAGGCAAACCAGCTTCCCTGTTCACTATCTCACATACTAGGGATATAGCCATCCATTGGCTACATAAAAACAGATCTAAAAGGAAAGCACTCCTTCCTTGTTCACAAACAGCCTTAATTTGGCCTAGCAAGATAGAAACAACTTGAATTTTCCACCATGTAGCTAACCATGCAGCATGTGCAGTACAGATGACGTATTCAGAATAAGTGTGGTCAATAAGGCAGACCCAACCAGTATAAGGTGCAATCTTCGCTAACTAATGACTATACTCCATAGGTGCTGTTCCGCCAACAGTCTGCTAATAAAAAGATACATTGCGTCATGCACAGAATGTGAACCCTCTGGGTAACTAGCACCCTCAGCAAGCCCAAGAAGGATAATTTGCATACTAGCTCTGGTCCTCAGTAAATCCTGTGGGAAGGCCAGCAGGCTGGCTGAAGCCAACAAGCCAGGTGGGGATGATATCACATGGGGATTCTTGTGAAGAGGGTGGAGCCGGTTCATTACATAGTGCTGGGGATGTGACCAAAATAGCTTTGGAAACCTGGGGAAAGGAAAGCTGACCAGGTGAAGAAAGAGATGACACAAACACAGAAATGAAACGATATATTGGCAACGGTTTATGAAAGTCCAGGGAAGTTTGTATCAGTGGACTCATTGAGCTGGCTGGGTCATGCCAGGAGTTATAGGACCTTTTTCTGTCTAAGTATATATAGGCTTGCAGCCCTCATCATTGACCTGTTGCTTTAGATGCCTTTTTATGGAACTGACTCAGTTGACCCTAAAGAATAGCCATCTGATTGAAATGTGGGCCTCAATAAACTTTCTACTGCATCTTTTACTAAACCCCTTCTTCTTTATTCTTGCTGATAAGAAGAGCCTGTTCTGGCCACTGCTGATACTGGCAGTTACTTAACTGTCCCCCTTAAATCAATATATTGTTAAAGTGGTAAACTCTGGCTGGTTCATGCTGTTTATTTCCAACAAGGAACGATTTGTCATAAAGGTAGCACTCTATCTTATGTCTATCTCTCCTTCCCATAGGTCCTTGCACTGAAGCACTTCCCTCACCCATTTTCATTGATGTATATGTTTTTATACATTGGCTATAAAACTAGTTATATGGGCATCATTCTATCATTTTGAAATAGGACAATAATGGCATAAAATCCATACAAAATATAAAAACACAGCAATACAAAATCAACATGGCAAAAATAGACATGCTGGTACAAAAAGCGACATACTTAAACCATAAAAATGAGGTCTAAGAAACAAAACTGGAGTTAAATATTTTTAATACTCAAAAGAAGCAGATCAAGTTAGTTTGTATCAGATGCAGGATTTATGAGGAATCTAGGGGAACTGGATTTCTACTCAAACATGTTTGGATATGGAGTAACTGAATGAGAGAGAGAATTCTGCTTGGTTCATTTATTTGGTAAGAGCATACCAACATTCACAGATACTTTCATATATTGGCAGTGAGGGCTTGAGAGTTTTTTTTTAATTGAATGTGGGAGAAAGCATACTTGACAGATGAATTCAACCAGACAGAGGATTTAACTATCTAGATCCATGTGTTCAACCAAGTTGGTCAAGCTATGGCTGCCGCCTCTTTCTTCTTGGGCTCCTCATCTTTAACAGCTACATAGCAGTAAAGTACAACATGGTCCTCTTCATGCTCCAGAGAACTGCACCTATTGAATTTGGTTACTGCAGATGGGTGAGGATTTTGTTTGGGTCAGTTTTGTGGTAATAACTTTCCAAGGCATTTCCTCATAAGCAGTATGTGGGCAACTGGAGATATAAGAGTCATATGTTGTAGAAACCAAAGCTGTCAAATCCATCCATCCATCCTTAATACATACATCTACATAGATCGGTGATGCACTCCTAATCAAGGTTGGAGCATGCCAGGTGTGGCAGATGGCATCATCATGAAGCTGTGCTTCTAACCTGAGAGCAGA